GCAAACTTGCAGCAGGTGTAGCCTACTTCTCAATTGTCATTAAATCTGGATTATGCCGTCTTTCTCGTCCCCCAGGTTTCCTCTTATTGGAAAAGTGTTTCCATGGTGAGCGTTAGTTGAGTTAGTACATATGGGTTTAACTCATCTACAATGCATAGCTGACATTTACCCAGCATGTCTTGAGAGCTCCCTGAACATACGCTAACGCCGCCTTCTGATTATTTATGTATAAATTCCGCTCATGTTGTGTGTGCTACTGTATGCAGATGATCAATTTATTAAAGGAAGAATGTATAAAGCATTTTTTAGAGTGCCTTTCAATTGATTCATATTATAAAGGCTCAATTATACTCTCAGTCTTAGCTAGGAAGCTAACCGCTGTTTGTCACCTCCATTTCAATGACTCTCACTTTTCATTAAGGCATGAGAGGTGTGTATATTACCATTATTTATCAGTATGTGCCTTCCTTGGCCCACTGTTCAATGCTCTAGTGGATTTATTCAATGGTGTCCCATCGTTTGACTGTGCGGATACAGAAGCACATGCATAATGTATGGCTACTATGCAGATGTACTTCAGACCACGTTATTTTGGCTTTTATTTTTTTTTTCAAGCACCCATGCTCAATGCATCAATGTCCCCTGTGTTTTTCCTTCCCCAGCAGTCACCTTGACATTTCGAAAGGTTAATTTGATATGTTATTCAAGTTAGCAAGTTATGAAAATAGTTATTCTCTTTAGCTGTAAATTAGCTCTCCTAAGAGCACCCCGATGAAAAAATAGCTTTAACTAGCCTTGTGTAATAGTGCACTCATCAGCTGGTCTTTAAATCTGGATGTTAGCTTATCTACCTTAGCAAGATTGGTTTGGTTGATCTATTTCGACTGTTTTAGACTATAACCTTGGACACCTGGTTAAGATTAGCTAAACCAGCTAAAGACCACATTGGGAAAGCAGAAAATGAGCTGAACATCATCTTGGATAGGTGGGAAGACCAGGTAAATCCAGCAATAGTTGAATTTCTGTAGCGGGTACATCAGCTTAATATGGTAAAATGGTGCCTTAGCCTGACCAAACCAATCAAGCTGGTCTGTTTAGATGGATTTTGGCACTTGTCATCTGTAGAAACCATCTAATGACCAGCTTGGCCATGCTGTGAGCCCAGTTAAATCTGCCTAAGATGGCTTGGTTGTCTTAATATCTTAATACTCTATGTCTTAATATAATATGTAGGTTGGTCTTTATTGATTTTACATGTTTCTAGAACAGGTTTTGGACTGAATTATCTGATAAAACTAAAGTAAAGACCAGATTGGCCATATTGGGAAAAAAAAAGAAATACACACACAACTTGGATAGGTAAGAAAGATCAGCCAAACCAGATAAAACCAGCAATGCCTTTGTAAACGAGTCTAATTTGGTTAGCTGATCTCTCAGCTTGGCCAAACCAGTTAATATGGTCCGTTTAGATGGTTTGAGTGAGTTGTGGGGCTCTGGTCTGACTTGCTAAACCAGGTAAAACCAATTAACCTTCTTTGGCTGGTTTATTATTTTTTTTGGTTTGCTTGTTAGCTTTGCATGTGGTTTCTTTTCTTTTTTTTTTAATCCTAGCTAGATTATTAGCATTCTTAGATATAGATATAGCCTTCTTTTCCCCTGCTATCTGTGGTCCACCAGAACAGACCTGTTGCGACCTATTTTTTGGGGTTGTGACCCACTAGTTTAGAACCACTAATCTAGATTATCCTATTGTCTGTAAAAAGTGGGCTATAAATTAAACATGTAGTGCATGTTATTTCTCCATTATGAACTGTTCATGACACTGCTTAGTATAAAGGAAATGTGAACTCCTCTCATTAGACATGTTAATTTAGTTTTAAAGGGTGGAGAAACTACTTAGACTCTCCTTTGATCATTATTCATCAAAGCTCCGAAATGCACAAGCAGGTTGCACTTGTCCTTGTGCGGAACGTGCCGACAAAAGTGTTTAAAGATTCACAAGAAACATGTCCCCCTCATTTGTGCAAATGAGCAACAATGCCGTTTCCCAGAGCTTACAGTTCAGCCAATTTCATATGCATGGGATTCAGCTTATATGCCTCTATCTCCTGCCCTATCTTGCAAATGAGAAAGGTTATCTCGCTTGCACCAATTGATGAATGAATGACCGTGCAAAGGTTTAGGCCGTCATGCTCCGCCAGGTTGCAGGCCAGGTGAAACATATCCTGCGGGGTTTAATATTTCGTACTCTTAAAGGGGAGAGACTCCCACTGAGATCAGATCCAGAACCTTCCGCAGCGCTGCTGGATCTTGCCGGCTGGAAGCCCTTTAAGCAAGGAGTGAGCGTAAAACGGAACAAAGGAGATTACACCCTGTTCTTTGCTCTCAGTAAATATGGTAGATAAAAGTATAAAACCAGTTTTCATACAATTTAAATCATTACAATTGGGGACTGCAGTGGAAATTTGGTTTTGTAGCCTGTAATCTGACAAAACATGTAATTAAGGATTATTCTAACAGCTAATGTTATATGTTAAAGCTAGAATTTATTCTTTTGGGAGGATTTGAACATGGATTAGTGTTTTTGGCCTTTCTAGATCTTTAACCTATTTTTTGTATTTAATTTTATATTATATTATACTTTGTATTATATTATATTATGTGATGGGCAATGATTAATCACGATTAAAGTTTGTGTGTGTATATATATATATATATATATATATATATATATATATATATATACATGCAAATATTTCCTAAATATGTACATATGTGAGTGTGTTTATTTGTATATACAAAATAATTAGTGTTTAGTGGATTAGTGTTTTTGGCCTTTTCTATATCTTTAACCTATTTTTTGTATTTAATTGTATATTATATTATATTATATTATATTATATTATATAATATTATATTATATTATATTATATTATATTATATTATATTATATTATATTATATTATATTATATTATATTGTATTGTATATTTATTTTTAAATATGCATGTACCCCTTAGTTCATCTCCCCATATTTTTTTATATTATTAAAAATTAGGGCTGTCAAACGATTAATCGCGATTAATCGCATACAAAACACACATCCTTGTATATATTTAAGAAATATTTTCATGTATATACTGTATATATATTTATATACAATTTATATTATATATAAATATAAATATTTTATATATAAATAATATTTTTTCCTAAATATATATATATATATATATATATATATACAAAATAATTATACACAGTGCACCCACATATATTTTGTAAACACAAACTTTTATTTTGGATGTGATTAATCGCGATTAATCATTTGACAGCCCTATTAAAAATACATTTCATCTAGCTTATCTGTCTCCCATGTTGGTTTGTTTGTTTGTTAAAAATATACAATCTTTAATCTAAATATCTATCTCTGACGTTTTTTTTTAAAGTATATTTTATCTCCTATTTGATCTTTTAAGTTTTGTTTACTACGTATATTATCACTGGAGGTTCGTATCCACTTAGAAATGAATGAGGGCCTTTCAATAATGATGACCTTAAAGTGAAAAAGATTGTGAAACACTGAAGGAGAAGTGAAGGAGTGAAAGAGAAGATATAAGAAGGGAAAGAGAGTAGTGTCAAGTACTGGAACGACGCCCCTGGCTCAACATTTCCAGGAAGTCCAAGACCCTCTAAACTCTCAGTGGAGCCTTCATGATCGCGGGGAGATATGTCAGAGTTGACATTTAGACATTTGGAGGAGGCTGATGTAGATGATGTCTGTTTTTGGTGCAGGAGTGGGGGTGGTTGCGCTCAAAGGTTGTTTGAAAGAGCGTGAAATGCGATACTGAGAGGGCTAGAGATGGTTGTTGTTCACCGTGATATAGCTGCACTGGGAGTAGGTGTTGGAGTCATTGGCACTGAGATGGTTCCGAAAGGAAGCCCTTCATTGGGCCAAGTGATGTAGTTGTGGGTGGAGGTTTTATGTGGGATTGACCTCACACTCTTCCGTCTGTCCAGTTAAACGTATGCAATTATAATCCCATATGTTACTTAGCACAGAGAAGATCCTTTTAGAATGCTTAATATGTTTTACTCGCACACAAGGTCCAACTTCGTGCTAATGTGGGTTTAATTAAGAAAAATTACAGGCAAATATTTATAATATATATTTGTTGATATTTAGACAATATTTATCTTGACGATTTTGTCTTTTACATGCAGGGCTCTAGCAAAGCAAATGTTTTGGGTTCAATTTGATTAAAGTAATAAAATGTGAACCTTGATTGCATTTTAAGTCATTTCGAATAAAATCATCTGCCAAAATTGCAAATGTGACAAACAAGATCGAAGTTCGAAGTCCATCTTCGTCTTGGACAAAAACGCAATCACATTGAAATTCTCATAAAAGCTGATTCAAGATTAAGGTAAAAGAAGTTATACATGAAATCCTGATTTTTCTTTGAGATGGGTTTATTCTTCAATTCACTGTCTTTGATTTAAATTGCTCATGGAATTTACATCAGCTTGATTAAGATCGTTCTTACAATTTGTCGCATTATATGACGTGGTCATTTTGCGAGACTATATTTTAGACTGTATCAAAATATAATGCCACATTTATATCACATCTTGCAGCTGAGTTTTTGGCCTAATCCAGAAGCTCATGCTTTGTTTGACTTCGTTTGCGGGACTCTGATCGCCCTAGGCATCAGTGGTGAATTTGGCACGCCGAATAGCTGGACAGACGTGGCCAGGAAAGGGCCGCAGTCCAGAAAGCATTCGTACACAAAGCCCTGGGCACAGAACGCGTTCTGGCTGCAAAATGGAAGAATGCCAGCAGCTCTTTGGGCTGTGGTTGACTGATGGGTGCTGGAAAAGTTGATGTTTAGAATAACGGTGCCCTTCACCTAGTTTGCTACTGTTTCTCTGAATGGACCTACTTGGCATTGTGTGCATATTTTGTGAGTCCTCACTAAGAACTCTATTGTGTTGTGGCAGGAAACTGGAAGGAGTGGTGTTTAACTGCAGCTGCAGTATCCGTTGGATCCAGCTGTGGCAGCAGCGAGGCGAGGCCGGACTCCATAACCAGCAGCTGTTCTGCAACAACGGAGTCTCCAAGATCCCTCTACAGCTCATGAACATCTCTCAGTGTGGTATGGGACACTTTCTGTAAATTGTGGTTGTCTTGAAAAGAATGGTTTGGCTTCAATACAAGTTAAAAGGGATACTTCACCCCAAAATTACAATTCTGAATTCTTTCAATTTTCACTGGCCTTCATCCTAACCGACATGACCTTTTTTCTTCTGTAGAACTCAAATGGTCAAATGTTGTTTTGGATCCCATTGATCATCATTTAATGGACAAAAACATGCATTTGTCAAAATATTCTCTTTTATGTTCTGCAGAAAAATCAAATTGTGTGTGAGTAAAGAATCACAGAATTGTCATTTTTGGGTGAAATCCTTTAAATGGACAATGTGTCTCTAAAATTAGGGCTGTCAAACGAATAATCGCGATTAATCGCATCCAAAATAAAAGTTTGTGTTTACATAATATATGTGGGTGCACTGTGTATAATTACTTTTACTATATATATATAAATACACACACATACTTGTGTATATATATTTAAGAAATATCTTCATGTATATACAGTACATAGATTTATATATAATTTATATTATGTATAAATATAAATATTGTATATATAAATGTATATTTTTAAATATACATGCATGTGTGTATTTATATATACGTATATATATATACACACACACACACACACACACAATATAATTATACACAGTGCAGAGTACGAAGTGGAAAAAAAAGGGTAAAAAATATAGCTTCAAAACTTATACAATTCTAAAAGTTAGCATGAGTCTAATGCGGTAAAAGTGCTTCCTGATGTTGTTTGTGTAAAATTATAGCCTATTTAATGTCATTATATTAAAAAGCTGGTAAAATATTATTATTGTTTTTAAAATAATGGATGAGTCAAAATTATTTTCTGTTCCCACATTGATGACATAATGGAATTCTTGCCACAAATGCTGTCGATAGAATTCAGCTATTTAACTTATTTAGATTACCTTATACATATTTATATGAAAAATAATAAATTACCTGCAGCCTATTTTACATACCAATGACTGCTTGTCTATTTCCAACCAAGATTTGCCGGAAATCAGCGTGAGTCACAGTAACCTGACGGTGATAGAAGGTGACAAGGTCACAATCACCTGCAATGGATCAGCGGTGCCTGTCCCGGAAGTGGATTGGACTGTCGGTGAACTGCATTCAATTAACACACACCAAGTAAGGCAGACTTTTGCTGACTAGAAATAAACATGAACTTTTTTGATGCTTATATGTATTTATTAAGTTAATTTAGTCGACAAAATCTTTTGGATGCCAGCTAAACCAGCTTAAACCACTTGAAACTAGTAAACTGTGCTTAAAGGAGAACTCCGGTGAAAAATGAACCTTTGGTCTAATAAAAAAATGGTACCTAGTCAACTGTTCCCTGAGATTTGTTTTCATGATAATCGAATGTAAAGAGTTTTATCTCTAAAAACTGTTTAGTGTATAATGCAAGCACTGGGGGCATTTACTAAGTAAAAAGAAATCGCTAGTTTATACCACTAACAAGGCTCAAAATATCCCCACACTAACACAGTAACATAATGAGGCTCCCGACATGCAAAACAAAGCATTGAGAACTTTGTAAGTGTACAGACCGTTTAATAAGAAGATATTTTACAAAGACAGTGCACTTCGTGTATACAGACAGGAGCCATCTTAGAAAATGGTCTCGATAAGTCGATCCCCGAATGCCGTTCATACAGTTCAGAAGATCACTCAGCACGTCGTTTGTGGTTCGACTTGTCGAGACTGTTTTCCAAAGATGGCGCCGCCTGTATACACAAAGTGAACTGTATAAACTAGCGATTTCTTTTTACTTAGTAAATGCCCCCAGTACTGGCATTATACACTAAACAGTTTTAGAGATAAAACTCTTTACATTCGATTATTATGAAAACAAAACTCAGGGAACGGTCGACTAGGTACCGATGTTTTATTAGACCAAAGGTTCATTTTGCGCCGGAGTTCTCCTTTAAGCTATTTTTTTTTTTTCCCTGCTGGATGGGCAGTACAGCCTTAAAATGACTTTACCTCTTATCCCTTACAGCCTGATTTTATTCATTTCGAATAAAATATGGCGTTTACCATGACTCAGATCTATTAAATGATCCACTTGAGCCTTACAGTGACTAGTTAAACCATAAACCATTTGTTGAATCTGTGCAAGCATGGTTTTGTTTTCAGAAGCTATTGTGTCCTCCTCTCTTCCAGTCCAATCAATATCCACCGAATGTCCACTCCATCAACTTAACTCTGGTCAATGTCAGCCGAGACGATAACAGCTTCATGCTGACCTGCATTGCAGAGAATATAGTTGGGATGACTAATGCCTCAATACAGCTTTCAGTGCAGTGTAAGTGCCTCTTTTTTGCTTCTATGCCTCTCAAATGCCTTTACATTCAGCCTCACTTCCTCTAACGTGCCAATTCTACCTTTTTGCCTCAGAGTAGCTCACTGAACACTGTCTCTGCCTCTTTAGCTTGATACTGTCAATTGCTACTGTGCCTCATGGCTACCAACTCTTGCCTTTGTTTTAAAGGGTAGGCATTTATGGAGGAAAGATCACCAAAAAGCTTGCTTTCTTTTTTTTTCGTCTTAGAAGTAGTGAGTATTATTGATTGAAATAGCTCTGGGGAATGCAGAATCAATTCTAGAACAAGGTAGGGGTGAGGTGTGTATTTTTTGTTGTTGTTATTATTAAAATACTTACTATTATTTCAACTTAACATGTAGGCAACTCTGAGTAAGTCATTGGCTGTGTCCGAAATCTCCACTCCAACCACTACTCTAGGGAGTAGAGCAGTATATAGTGAGCTCACCAGCATAAAAACCACTTTCGGACACTACTCGATTGTCTCTCGGCGCCGTTGATTACGTCATTGCTGTCGCCCGTCCGTCTTTTTTACGATCAACGCAATGCATGATGGTATGTAGGGCTTGGGTTAGTGACCATCGGTTGTACACTACTTTTCAAAATGCATTCTGGGATACATTGAGTGGACTATATAGGGTATAATAATCATCACTATACATTCGGACAGCACTACAAAATGGCGAGCTCACTATATAGTGAGTAGTGGGAGATTTCGGACACAGCCATTGTGTCGGTTGATGTTGCTGAAAAGTGTAACCACTGTGGCTCTAGTGATTTCAAAGCATTGCAGTTTGATTAAGTATTCTGACCAGCACAGCAGTGTTGTAGTCGAGACCACCTCACTCGAGTCCGAGTCGACACCGAGACCAGAGAGAGTCGAGTCCGAGTCAAGACCGAGTCCATAGAGAGTCGAGTCCGAGTCGAGTCCGAGACCAGAGACGGTCGAGTCCGAGTCGAGACCGAGACCAGTGAGGGTTGATTACCTAATTTACTTTTATTTACTTAGAGAAATCCTTTTTTTTTTTTTTTTTTTTACTGAATTTACTTAGAGTTTAAAAAATATGATCAGTTTAGGGTAAAAAGGCCACATAGTAGGTGGTGTTAAAAGTAATTTTATTACAATTTGTCATGCGCAGTTGCGCACTAGAAAATCACCAATCACTGGGCATGTCAATCAATTTAAATAAATATTTTATTAACATACATTAATAATCATGAAAAATATTTTTAATTGAACTCGAGTGGACTCGGGAATAATTCCGAGTCCTAAAAAAAAAAAATGTTAGAGTACGAGTCAATTCCGAGTCTAAATGGACACGAGTCCATGACAAGACCATTAAAATATGGTCTCGAGACCGAGTCCGAGACGAGTCCGAGTCTCGAGTACTACAACACTGCAGCACAGCATAGCAACTGGCTCAGCCAATGGGATGTGTTTGGGGCGGAGCTATCTGATTGACTGACCAATGACAGAGAGAGAGAGAGAGTGTGTCATGAAAACCTGTTTGACAACAGATGGTTTTGACATACTTACATGGCAATTCTTTTACGTTTTGGTGAATTGGTGACTAATTGACATAAATTTGTACAATCTCACACGATCTGCGTTTTTTTGTTGTTGTTTTTTTTCACATGATACAAATTCATATGAAATCACCACCTTCATAAGATCAGGTTGAATTGCTTGAGATTGTTTTTGTTAGGTGATGTTAGTTCACACTTCAACTCTTAAATATTTTGTATATGGTCTCTCTTTATCAAACCAAATTCTATAAATCATAGTGAGGCTATTTAAATTGCTTATGAATTCATTAGAAATTGGTTCACCAGAAACAATCCTACTCCTACACCAAAAAACAAAATAAACAAGAACTCATGTCCAACACAACCCTATGTGTTGTAGGAAAGTCATTTGTGTAGTTTATTGATCTATGAAAGCGAGAGCTGTTCTTCATCTGGACTTTTCACACGAAAAAAGGCTGTAAGTGAAATATTAGAGAGATTTATCAATGTTATCATGGTTCAGTGTGTAGTAGGCAACATGTGATTGCTTTGTGGCAGAGTTTGGTGGTGTATTTTCTGTGTTTGTGTGTTGGCAAGGATATGCCGGGGTCTTAGAAATCAGAAACTTGGAAATGTTCCAGTTTTTGTTCACCTAAAATATGTTTTTGCTTTATATTATATTACTCTTGGAAATAAAAAATCAATGCATGCAGCATTTTTTGGCATTAAGTTTATTTTTCCCATATGGGGTATGAATGCAAAAAATAATGTCCCAAATGAAAAAAATAAAATGAAAGAAACAACAATTCTGAGGCAATAAGCAACTATGCCTCTAATCAAACATATATACCCCTGAGAAACAATAAAACAAAGAAAAAGCCAAGAACAAAGACATAATCTGCCTCAAAGTATCCATATATAAAGACGTGGCTCTACACATCACATTTTGACATCCAGTAATAAAACTTTAGTTGATCTAATTAAATGAAAAAAATAAAATAAAATAAAAAATACTCCAGAACTGACTAACTTGGTGATGTAATGACTAACTGTTCTGCATATTAAAACTATTTGAGTTAACGGCATACACTGTCACAATCAGATAATAAAGTGATATAAATATGAATACCACTATTGCCATTAATTAAAATAAATCGAAAAATTTACAACATCCACACTACAACATCACACCATCAAACAACAGCTGTTTTCTCCCACTTGGTTTGAAGTAAGGCAATTATAGACTTCCTTATATGAACACAGCTACAATTACAATGTAATGTGAGGTCGCCGTGTTGAATCTGTATTTACATTTATACTGAACAGTGTTGGCCAACAACAATGTAAGATGATTCTTCCCACATTCTATCTATTGACCGCATGAGATTTGCTTAGAGCGGCAAATTCTGTGGAAATAAGAGCAAGTCACTCTCTCTCTCTCTCTGTTTCTCTATTTGTCTTTGTCCTTGAGATTGGAGAAAAGTCACAGAAATCAAGGGATGCCAATTGATTAAAAGTTTTAGAAGTACAATACTTTTCAAAACTTGAAAAAAAAGATTTTTTTCTTCGGGAGAAGTCTCGGTTTCACTTTATTTTGATGGTCCCTTTAAAGGGATACTCCACCGTTTTTTTCATATTAAACTATGTTATTTCCTTAACTAAGACGAGTTGATACATACCTCTCTTTTCTCTGTGTTTGTACTCAATCGCTGTGGCGCGCGAGACACTTTGATAGCACTTAACTAGCCCAGTTCATTCAATATGGACCAAGAAGAGAAGCGACCAAACACCTCCACGTTTCCCTATTTAAATACAGTTACACGAGTAGAGTAACTTGACCTAGGACTTTCATTAGAGTGTTAGTAGAGAATCAGTATACTAGTAGGGTTAGGGTTACAATAAGTTGACATTTGCATTGTTACTTATAGTCAGTAGAGTGTCTGTTGGAGGAGCATCACAATAAAGAGTTATCAGATATTAAGCAGACATTCTACTAATACTCTAATGAGAGTTAGTTGACATGTAGTTGCAAAGTTACTTATGGTCACCAGAATGTTTAAAAGGGACCATCAAAATAAAGTGTTACCAAAGTCTCTTATTCTCACCAAGGATGCATGTATTTAATTGCATTTTTTAAAAATGTATATTAATTTTGAAAACTACGGAGCCCCTAAAGGGACATGGTGGTGGAAAAAAAATGCCAGAAATAAATAAGATGATCCTTCTGCACTGTAAAAAAAATATATATTGATGGTTTAACTTAAAGTAAGTAACCTGGTTGCCTTAAAAGTTCATTGAACTGGAAAAAGTGAGTTAATACAATAAAGGAGAATGATTTAATCATCAGAAACTCAAAATTATATGTTATCTGAACTAAATAAATTATTTAAGTTGATTTGACAAAAGAAAAAATGTTGTGATTACTAAACTGTAAAAAAATATTGTTGGTTTAACTTAAAAAGTAAGTAACCTGGGTTGCCTTAAAATTTTAAGTTGATTGAACTGGAAAAAGTGAGTTAATACAATGAAGGAGATTAATTTAACCATCAGAAACTCAAAATAATAAGTTATCTCAACTAAATAAATTATTATAAAATTGATTTGACAAAAGAAAATATGTTGTGATAACAAATCTTGAAAATATTTTTACAGTGTGCATTCTCTCACAAAACCTTTGTGTTCCCCGAGAAAACCTTTTGAGCTCTTTGCGAGTGAACGCAAAACATTTCATATTGTTTTAATGTACCACATTCCTAGGGGCTCCTTAGAAAACAATTGTGCGGTTGAACATTTTTTTGTGTAAAACTGTGATACTTTTATTTCAATATTCTTTAATGAATAGTAAGTTAAACACAACATTTACTTGAATTAGAAATATTTTGTAACATTATAAATCCTTGAATGCATCCTTGCTTAATATCAATACTGATTTCTTAAAAAAAAAATCATGCATACTTCAAACATTTGAACTATACTGTATTATATTTATATTTTATATACTTACATTAATAACTTGAATAGAATAAATACATGAATAGCTCTATCAGAAGCATTTGAGTGAATTAACCACTGATTTGATCCATTATGAATGTTTAATATGGACGTTTGACATATTTACCGCATCATAATTGCTGGCAGTTACCGCCTTACTAACACATGGTGGGTGGAGAAGATAATGGAAACGTTTATCGAGTGCAGTTGTTTCCCACCTTTGGCTCGGCGCCTCCATTCCATGAAATGTCCGCTCACACACATGCTTGATGGCCAGTCAGGCAGTTAACATGGGATCTTCTGTCCAAGAGGCAGGATAGCGGATCAAGCAAACATCCGTACACGGACCACCATGCATGAACGTGGTTTATGGTTATCCGTGCTCATTGGTCTATGGATTTATGTTGGACGGTAGTATGAGGTAGTTAATCCTTTCTGTATAAAAAAAAGTCATTTGTTTCTCTCTTGCAGTCCCTCCTGTCATCATTAAGTTTGAGGAGCCCCAGAAATTGCACGACACATGCATGATGTTCACGGTTCGTGCGCACCCCCTGCCCACCCTGAGGTGGTACTATAAGGGCGAGGAGATCAAGACCAACGAATACGTTCGTCCAGATGTGGTGGTCTATCAGGACAACCTGGAGGGATGCCTCATGTTCAAAAACCCAACACACCACAACAATGGCAATTACACGCTGGAGGCCAGCAACTTCCTGGGCGTGGCTGTCAAAACTGTGTACGCCCACTTCCTCCAACCACCTTTTGATGGTACGTGACTGACTTGCACTCAATTAAATCACACATTTCAAATCTATGTCAGCCGGAAATCCACAGTTGCAGGTTTATCCCCACAATGAGTAATATGCAAATTTTCTAATTATTTCATTATTTAACTGTCATATACATAAAGATCAGTGGACGATGCTGAGGAAACAACATATAATGCATAGTGTACCAGCAAATCTTACTTTAAATTGTGCAAAAGTAGTCAAATTCTCTGTGTGTTCTCTAAAGAGCACATGAGGAGGGGTACTGTGATTTGAGATGTTAGATTGCAGACGTCGTGTTGAGAAACAGAACCGACTCGATATCCTTTAAAGGCCCCGTCTGAATAACTTATTAACACCTGAGGTGAGACTCCACCAAGATTATATAGATACAGACATTTTTTGTGTCATGCTATTGCAAGCATAAGAGTGTATTTTGGAAACCTAGGTTCAATCTGTGCTTAAAATAGTTATATATGTAGAGTTAGGTTTAAAATTGATGAATGATGTATTACTGAAAAATATCTGTCTGTCTGTCTGCTTTCATTCAAAGCTGGAAATTAACAGACTTAAGATTTTATATGTATACACACTATACATTTAATATTTTATCTACTGAAGATTCTGGACTATTTCTTTGTATATAAAAAAAAAGTTAATTAAATGTTAATAATTATTATTATTATATTAATATGTTATGCAATTAATTTAAAGATTTTCAAGTGATTATTAAAGATTGATAAAGAGTATTTAAAGATTATCAAGTGATCTCCCCCCAATTAGACTTGTTTAAAAACTCGCATTTATGACATATCAGCACTGATTTAGCAATAAAAAATGTTTCTTAAGCACCAAATCAGCATTTGAGAATAATCTCTAAAGGATCATGTGACACTGAAGACTAGAGTAACGATACTGAAAATTTTGCATTGCCATCACAGGAATAAAATGCATTTTAAAATAAAAAAGCAGCTATTTTAAATGTTAAATTAAAAAATTTTAAACAGTTTTTTTTCTTTATTTTTGATCAAATTAATGCAGCATTGGTGTGTGTATATATATATATATATATATATATATATATATATACATGCAGATTATATGACGACCTCAGGCATGATTCCTCATTAATGTAATATTATAAATATGATAAATATTGTAATTATTGTCCCATATTATATTCTGAAAGACTAATTTGAACATTACCATAACTGCACAAGAAATGCACTGAAGGGTGCATGCTGATCATTTTAAAATGTGTTTACATGAGTCCTCAGAGCTGATCTCGACATATTCATATCTGGTAATTATATGTGTGTGTGTTTTTTCTCTCTCCTTTTCTCTGTAGACTACCACGATTATGGTGAGTTTCTCCCTTTAATTGGATGCTACATGAATTTTTGTAACTTATTCATTAGTTTTGTTTATCATAAAACAAAGAATGATTTAGAAAGAAGCAATTTAGTTTGTGCACTGAACAAACAAATATCCTCCAAACAATTACCTTGGCCTTATTCTCAAATGGCTGGCCGCCATAGTTGGGCATGCTGTTATTAGACCTGTTTTGTATTTTTGGCTTAAAGTGACCGATATCTGTCAGTATGTGGGAAAAATCAGATCCTTTTCCACAAGAAATTTATTTAATGTGGATCAAGGACAGTGTCCAGAGGACAGTCACTTACCTTCACAAGAACATATCTTACACGGATACCACCCTAATTCACCACATTTAATAAAGTTGATGCATGGAAACTCTACAAATGACAGATTGTTACTGTCAGAGCTCTGAACGAAGTTGGAATGAAGATGGCTGTGGTTTAGAGAATCAGGTTTTCCACACGTGTCCTTGTTCGAGGTAAAAATAATAATAAATAAATAAATAAATAAGAACAGCCTAACGCTTTTGTTCAATAGTTCATAAATAATACTGGCAGATTAATATAGGAGCAGACTCCCTGTCGAAATGGCAATATCCTTGCAAAAAAACGGGTCTAATAAAACAGTATTTGCCCCAAGACACGTTTAGTGAAGTATGCCTAACAGTTCTTTGTGTCTAACTTTGTCTTTTTGTAACTTAAACAGTGTTCAATTCCTAAATACAATATTTCCGAAATTATTGTAATGCACAATTAAAATAATTACTCCGAGTGAACATATAATTGCATCCCTCACCTTTTAAAGGCTGCAATGACAAAACCAATTAAGTTAGCAATCAAGAATTTTAAAATTAATTTAAAAATGACATAGCATTGATAATTTTGTAAATGATATAATGCATATACATAAACTGTTCAAAAATAAAGATAAAGAGCATTTTGACACTTTATCTGCTTTCAAATGTCAGTTGGGATGGTGGAAAAAAAAAAAAAAGATAGGCCGTGTGTCCACCAAAGCGTTTTTAGCCAGCTGAAGACGCCATGCTTTGGGTGCTTGAGCAGCGTTTTTTTTTCCGTTGAGACGTTTTGTTGCTATGATACAGAATCTCCGCAGCACAGTTTACTTGTAACTGATTTCGCATAAAATTTGTTTCATACTAAAAAAAAAATAATTTTTAATCCATTTTGTTCGATTAACTCTGTTAATTGATGTCGTTGGTCGTCAACAGTTGGTCGTTGTGGTTTAGTCCCGCCCCTCCTCCACTGTGATTGGACGGCTGGGTAAAAAGTGACAGTGATGAGCGCTGCGTTTTATCCAAAGTTGAACATTTTTCAACTTTTCAACACTCGGCGACCAGTAAACCGCTCGGTGCTTCAGCATGAAAAAAAAAAAAAAAACACTCAGTGCCTCGTTACGCTCATGGCGTTTAAAAAACGTGGCGCTCCCATTGAAAACAATTGAAAACATACGCCAGGCGTGTGGGAAAACGCTTTGGTGGACACACGGCCATATGTTTTACACCTATATACATACATTATAACGTAAAAATTTACGTAATTGAACCAAATTTTAACATAAGACTTTGGACATGTTTGTGTCAATTACCCCAAAATATCTGTTTGGGCTCACAGTTCTGTCCAGAAAGTTTCAGAAATGTTTTTTGCTTTTTTCTGAACACCACTAAGCTCTTGTTTGTTTCCTAGTGAGTCCTACGCCGACCGCTATTCCAACCATGACACATCGGCCTGAAGAGGACACGTTTGGCGTGAGTGTTGTTTTCTCTCCTGAGATCGAAAGCACCTATATGAAGTATAATGAGGTTTCCCAAGAACACATGGTAAAGGTGTTGAAAACAAACCCCATTCTAAACCATTTTTGTTTTCCTTCTCACATTGTACCTCCAATCTTCAAATTCCCTTGTGGCTTGCGTGTTTTACAGCTTCTTTTAAAAAGTCGTTCTTCTCTGTGCTGTAATTGACTGGATAGAGATTATTTTCTCATCTGAAGATTTTAATAAGGACTTGGGCGACGGCACAGAGAATAAGCTTGGTCCTCGATTGTTTGGATTTCCTAATTATGGGGGAAAGCCTTTCTGCTTCAAATAGCTTTATTCCACCACTTTGACTGCTTTGATTTATCGTTTGTTGTCTATATTTTGTGTTTATCAGGAGCATTTAGACATTATATTAAGTTGTACGCTTTGTATTTCCCAAAAGAAAGTGTATCTTAGCGGCAAGTTAATTGCTATCACTCTCCTAGAATACCTAACATGAATTATTAGTATCATTTTTTTTTTCTTTTATACGCTTTGCCCCTTCCCTTTTCATGGAATTTATCAAAGCAACTGCTGCCATATGCAACTTATGACTCCAATTATATAAACCTCTCATGATACAACATCAATATAAATCAAATAAACAAGTCAAGACACGCTTCATAGGTTTGCTGTAAAATTGATATTTTTGCCCTTTTGCGAGACACTCGAGATTAGACAGAAATATTTATTTGACACGTTTTAGGTTGCTAGTTATGCCATTCCTGGACTGTAGTTTCGTAAAAGCTTTTAAAACATACTTAAAAAAGTTAAATTGTATTGACGCACGTTTTGAGAATCAAGCATGCTAAAGAAATGTTTTGAGAATGAAGCTAATGTCATAGCTAGCATGCTAATAGTACTATCTATACAGTAGAATGTAAAAAGCATGCAAATTTGCCCTGTGTTTACATGTAGAATACCAAGATGATCTGCTTGGCAAAATGTGCAACTAAGCATACTGTTTACCACAATGCATTGCACTTGACTTGACCTTTCAGTGTGATTGAGCCGGAAACAACTTAATATCTACAGTTTTAATATCTTTTACGAGACTCAATGCGTCTCATTCACTAATTGTGTGGATCTAGTATTGGTACGCACAGGAGAACTTAGCCTATAAAAAAATTGTTCTTAACCTCATTCTTATCTAATTTTAGAGTATTCTAATAAATGAGCAACTGTGTGAATATAAGGGTTTTCCATTATAATTTCATCTTCACACGATTATAAGGCCACCCAGAATATGTGATTTTTGTACATGTTGTTTGTTGTTCCTAAATTTGAGTTCATAAATTTGTCAGGATTTGTTAATGAAAACATTCATACAGATTTCACACACAGTTAGTAAATGCTACCCATTATTTTGATCTGACTGTCAAGTTAAAAGTTTTGAAAGTCAAAATGTACTGTGTAAATTTAACATGCAGCGTTATGAGACCACACGTGACAACAATACAGTTTTATCCTTCCATATTGAGTAGTATAATTGTATTTTATTTAGTAGGCAGTAAACAGTAAGCAACATGCTAGTTTTATGTTCTAAAAATGCTAAGCTAAGCGCTAACCTGACTGTGCTGAAATCTTGCTCTCATTTCATAATTTGGTTCTTCAAATAAATGAAATGTTGTGTTTGCTACTTTTTTTAGGTGTCGATTGCGGTTGGCTTGGCTGGCTTTGCCTGCGTTCTCCTCGTCGTTATGTTTGTGCTAATCAACAAATATGGCAGACGTTCAAAGTTTGGCATGAAAGGTAAGCCAGTGTAAACTATTCAGCGGGAAACTTGGCATGTTGCTTCATTAGTGTATAAGTGTGACATCAACTGATAATTTTTTTTGTACCAACAACTTGTGGGTAGAAAAATGCTATGCTAATTATTATGCTTTCTATTTTAGCCGGTTGTTTCTGTCTCAAACTGTTGAGTAGAGCGTCTATGAATATTTGACATTTTAAGTGTGTTTAGCTAGGCAATGTCAGGTTGGGTTTTGCAAATGTTTAGTTGTGAGAGGTTGAACGTGTATATACATTTTTAGCTGTTTCAAAATGGGTGTCGTGTTTACCAATTTCGAGAAATAATGAGCCTGATGGAGTTTCAGCCACGCTTTTAGTCCCTAAATAGGATTCATATGTCACTGTGCTGGATGGACCCTTGGGTTTGTCTGAGTTCCAAAGCCAATGCGTTGCTGGCGGGTAGTTAGAGGACGCTGTAGTTAGCCATCGCCTTGGTTACGTGCTGGGATGGTGGGATGCTAGGCTCAGTCATGCTTTCCTGATTGTCCAATGGGTTTGGCAGTGTTGTTGTTTTCCTCTCTCCTCTCAGAATCCTCCAAAGCGTGATCGGTTTGGCTACCCATGGTGCATTTTGGCTGCTTTTTTAGCCAGTGTAGTGGGAAACAACTCTGTTTTGCATCCCAGCTCTGACATTAAAAGCAGAAATTTCACATTTTCCCCCTTGACGCCCCACTCATTGTAAATATGAGTCATCCAGACGTCATATAATGGCTTCGCAATGAACACTGCATGTGACATGTTGGCTCGTGTGGAACCGTGCAACACCAATTACGATACAACCAACTCAAATGCTTGCGTATCAAAGGGATAATTAATGTGATGCTTTCACTCCCTGGAGCCTCTTGCCATGTTATATTTTTCATTCAACATCAACTGGAATCTAATCATTGGCTCTGTCTGGTGGTAGCGGTGTCAGAGTACCCATAAGTCCCTGCTACGGCGCAGACAGAGCTCTAAATGAATGCGTGCCGTGTTGGCTGACTCTTGCCTTGGCACAATGCCACGTTCATTGACTTTCTCCGTTGCACTTTGGTTCCCACGGGGACATTCTTTTTTTCCCCCTCCTCTCTTTCTACCGTGTTTTACAACCGCTACCCTTGTCTCTTCTCTCCACCAATCCCTTTATACCCTCCCACCCTCTTCCGTCTGTTACCCCCCACTCTTGTTGACAGAAAGCGAGAACTCTCAATCCTTTTTTAACCAAGCTAATTAATTGGAGATTAAGCCGATAACTTAAACGGATATGGAATTAAGAAAGAGAATGGAGGAGGGAGGAGAGCCCTGGATGGTGCTGGAAGAAGTCCGACAGCCTGTTCCGGCTCGATTCGACTTGTTCCGGCTTTTTAGGTCTCCAGCAAATTACAGGAAGATGATTGTTGTGCTTTGGTTTGCTTGTACCCCATTATTCAGACTCTAAAAAGAAAGAAAAGGGGTAAATTCATGAGACATGGGTGGCTTATTATTGGGATCTTGTGAATATTAGCTGAATAATTGGCATCAGATCTGTTTTTATATCCTTTAGTTACTTAATTGTTTTGTAACAATCATGACTGAGTTTTTATTTTTATGTCTTTCGGTTCATTACGCATATATGGACTGATGAATAGCCCATTGCAGCCCATTTACCACTATTAACCATCAATAATCCCAATAAACTCTGTTTTCTCTTACTTTTGATAAGAAGCGAAGTCTCATTTCTCAAATTCCGTCCATTTTTATCACAAAATTCAAACATTAAAGGCCGTTTTGACGCACTTCGATATGGCGTGACAGATCCTACCAGAGCGCCTCTGTTGATGCGTCAGTGTGGAGCGCGAGTGAACGTGATCATCTCTTCCTCTTTAATGAATAAACATGAAAGAACATCTGATTGTATGTTGAAAGATACACTTACTTAAACGTATCATGCAATCACTCAACAAATTTTAACTGCGAAAAGACGTCAATAAAACAGGTTGTGAATATTCTTAGCCAATATATTTTTCAGTATATTTTACTTAACCTGTTTTGATTTATGTATGTTTAAATAAATCTGTTATGAAAACTAGTTATGATGGCTACTGTGTAAATGAATATATTTTAACTATAAATTGGAGTAGAAACATAGTTTTAGATTGAGAAGTTAATTCATAATTTTTTTATGCGAGTGTTGATTTGTTATATGTAAAGAATAAATAACAAATGGATTTAATCAATTAGGCTCTGTTGTTAATTGTAACCTTTAATATTATAGATATTATATGTTTATACTGTATAAGGACTCCCTATATACTGTATAGTTTACAGCATTAGCAGAGATTTAATTTTTTATCCTTAAGATTTTTTTTTTTTGGATAAATATTGATATTTATTTGTTGATTTTGTTGTAGTTGTTGAATAAATGCGTTTCACTTTTTGAAATTGTTAGTGTCTCGAGGCAGTTTTCCCCCAGTTCCAGCATTCTGCTAAATGCTGCAGACTTCATTTCTTGGCCTTTTTTCTACTTTGGCCCTCAAGTCTGACCTCAGAGCCGTAAACTCCTAGGGATAAAATGTGGCCTTCTGTCGCTCTATTCAGTGATTTTATTATTCCTTTATTCAAAATCAAACAGTAGTCCTTTCTGTCCGACTGTCTCCGCTGAGAGCTGTGGAAAAAGCTGTTTGTGCTCTGGTATTGAGACTTTAGATTATTCTTTTGGTTCTCATCCAGTGCAATGAATGAGAGTTGTTCATATGAACTGAGGCGTAAATAATCTTAATCTACTCCTGTGGTGAGAGAAAGATTTGGTCCAGGGGACGCACAAAAGTCCTTTAAAAAACATTAGTATTTTTCTGAAGTACTTGTAGATCAAGCTGTTTAGGCAGATAGCGCTTTTTGTCTCCATTTTGGATGTTTTTGGAGGTGCATAACTTTCTATGTTGTTTCCTCAAATGCTTCCTGGTGGAGAGGGAAAGAGAGAGATATCTGAAGAGATCTTGGTCCAGTCTTTGTTCATCCGCAAGTGCTACCTAGCTCCACCTGGCTCTCTGTAGCAGGACCGCAGGGTGTTTAAAGTCTCCTGATTCTTATTCCAGCCTGCATCTTACGTCTGAGTTAAACTTTCTCTGAGGGCTCGCGGTGAGATCCCATTATTACCATCTTAAATCTGACAGCAGGGCTCTCACACAAATGGAAAAAGCTTTTTTTTCTCTCTTTAAAGTCCTTACATCTGAGAGAGAATATGTGTGTAAAATATATTTGTGTGTGTGTATGAGAGATCTGTAGCTCCAGTGCCTGCATTCATCCTTCTGGTTCAATAAAATAGACAGCCGTAGTACTTCTCCACTCCCAGACTTCATTTCCGCGGATATGGGGCTCAACTGCTTTGCTTCAGGTTACACTTCCTGTGATTTACTTATATCTGATTGTTTTTGTCACTTTTTTTTTAACTCTTCTGTGATGTTTTTATCTCGAAGACTTCCGTGGTGTGCCAGTCAATTAAAAGTGTGTTTGAAACGGATGGAGTTCCACTTCGCAGTAAAGAATGATTTACTTAACCCCAAAAGACCTCTTTTATGAGTGTAAGACATGAATTCATGAGCCGTGGATTATTATCGCTTGTAATGAATGATTTGGAAGTTCATCCTTGAGATGCTTAATTGTTGTGCAGCAATAATGGTAATGAGAGCATGCAGACAGATAGATAGATAGATAGATAGATAGATAGATAGATAGATAGATAGATAGATAGATAGATAGATAGATAGATAGATAGATAGATAGATAGATAGATAGATAGATAGATAGATAGATAGATAGATAGATTTTATAATCTTATGATGAGGATGATGATCCTACTTGGTCATGGGTTCTGTTCCACTGCCGAGAAATAGTTCATAGTTCAACATGAAATCCACGGGGAGGAGTCCACGACCAGATACAAGTCCTCCAACATTCACGACCAGATACAACTCCTCCCACCTTACATATACCTAAACCTACCCAGCTCCACCCCCTGATACCTAAACCCACCCCTAAACATAGCTAGCTCCACCCTCTGATCCCTAAACCCACCCCTAAACATACCTAGCTCCACCCCTGATCCCTAAACCCACCCCTAAACATACCTAGCTCCACCCCCTGATACCTAAACCCACCCCTAAACATAGCTAGCTCCACCCTCTGATCCCTTAACCCACCCCTAAACATACCTAGCTCCACCCCTGATCCCTAAACCCACCCCTAAACATACCTAGCTCCACCCCTGATCCCTAAACCCACCCCTAAACATACCTAGCTCCACCCCCCGATCCCTAAACCCACCGCTAAACATAGCTAGCTCCACCCTTTGATCCCTAAACCCACCCCTAAATCTACCCAGCTCCACCCCCTGATGCTTAAACCCACCCCTAAACATGGCTAGCTCCACCCTGTGATCCCTAAACCCACCCCTAAACATACCTAGCTCCACCCCCTGATCCCTATACCCACCCCTAAATCTACCCAGCTCCACCCCCTGATCCCTAAACCCACCCCTAAACATACCCAGCTCCACCCTCTGAACCCTAAATCCACCCCTAAACATACCTTGCTCCACCCCTGATCCCTAAACCCACCCCTAAACATACCTAGCTCCACGCCTGATCCTTAAATCCACCCCTAAACATACCTAGCTCCACCCCCTGATCCCTAAACCCACCCCTAAATCTACCCAGCTCCACGCCTGATCCCTAAATCCACCCCTAAACATACCTAGCTCCACCCCTGATCCCTAAACCCACCCCTAAACATACCTACTTCCACCCCCTGATCCCTAAACCCACCCCTAAACCTACCCAGCTCCACCCCCTGATCCCTAAACATACCTAGCCCCACCCCCTGATCCCTAAACCTACCCAGCTCCACCCCCTGATCCCTAAACATACCTAGCTCCACCCCCTGATCCCTAAACCCACCCCTAAACCTACCCAACTCCACCCCTCAGATCTGGATCCGACTCGGCC